AACTTAAGGCTGCCGTTTTCCCAAGGGGGTTTTATCTTCTCGATAATCCCCTCTAAGGCGGCGGTGTTAGCAGGAGAAGCGAGATTAAAGAACATTTTATTATTCTTAATCTCACTGATCATGATAGGGATTGGATCTCCACCTTCCAAGATGAGATCCAGGATTTTGCTGTTGACCATTTCCTCTATCTCTTCTATATGGTCTTTTGATAGGTTGCCTGAACCTTTGTTGGTGTCGATTAATGCGTATTGCATTTCGTCCCTGTTGTGTTTCCTGGCGACTTTAGCATACGATGGCGGCTTCGTATCCGTTTCCCCGGCCCGTTTTCTCTTCTGATGAGCGAGGGATTTCTTTTCAGAAACCCCAGGCTTGACAGTCGATTTCACGGTCGGGCTCACCTTTACAGTGCTGGGGCTGGCCTTGTCACCCTCGGACAAAGGATTCCTGTTACAGTCTCCCTTGGGGGTTCCTTGCCTTGATTTACCCGAAGCATCCGTAGGTGGGAAGCTCTTTTTCGCCGGCTTCGCAGTATTCTGTTCCTCAGGGGACCTGATCCTCTTCCCTGTCTCCAACGGAGTGGGGGGAGTATTTTTGGTTCCCTTCGGAGCGTCCTGCTACTTTGCGTTTTTGCTGTTCCGTTGCCTCTTGAGCTTTCGCCGCTGAGCCCCAGACAGCATTTTAGCCTTAGTTGTGAGCTTCGCTAGGCTGTCGCTCACTTCTTCTTTCGTTCTGTGGCCTCCTCCTCATTTGGGATTCGCTGCTGTTGTCGGACTCAGAGTCTGTCGTTGAAGGTTGGGTTGAGGGTACGCTTCCCCTGAGTTCCTCAGCCTCTTCGTCTATCTTGTTGCCCGAGGGATGTGTGCTTGTAGCAGTACCTTCGACCGCAGATGCCAAGGCACCCACATCTACGGGAGAGTTTTGCTCACGATCGTTGGATGACGACAGGGTGTGACTCGTGGCTGGATCACAAACACCCGCCGGTACTGGGTTATTTAGGCCCAGCACCGTAACTTTTTCTTCTTCTAAAACTTCCTCCATGTTTGTTTTTTGTTTTAGGGGAACATCCCCGTAGTCAGTTTTTTGTCCGCGGGAAAAAATCCCTGGAACGGGTGATCGCACTGCTCCGCTCTATACCATTTCGCCACTAGGAGCCCTGTTACGAGCAAAACAGTGCGATCATCCACCCCCCTATCCGCCAGTGGGGACGCGCCTGGTAGGTGAACTGACAAACACCCTCAGGTAAGGAGATAGTCCTGACGTATTTAGGTAATATGGCCGTATAAATTGCTTGAATATGGTGGGAAGATGGGACTTTTGGACGCAATAGGTGTTTTCTGGTTATTTTTCCAACATGAATTGTCTAACAGCTTCTTTCTTGGAGACTAAGGCAGTTGTATTCTTTTTTGCAAGAAAAATCTAAAAGTAAAACGACGGAAAAAAACAAAAACTTGTTAGCAATCAACAGGTTTGTCAAAACAATTTGGCCGCCATAAAAAGAAATGGAACACATAAAAATTAAAATGAGCTGAAAACATATAATTAGGCTTGCGATTTCCATTGCTTGCGAAAATGAAAATCACCGGAAGGGGTAGAAGAAAAGAGGGAAGTGACTGCAAGAAATTTGTCCGGCTAGAATTTGAAATCCTGAGTGAAAGAATATCTCTCTCGAAGTGCTCTTCCAGTTACAATTTGCATCAATTGTAACAAATTTTTAGGGTAACCAGACACACCTAATACAATTATTATGGTACGAGGAGGCTTTTCGATATATTTCGGTAAGATTGGTAAAAATATACTTATTATCTATTGTTATCTATGTTCACCTTGATTACATTTTTTCTACAAAACTAACACCACAGTACCACGGGAGCAACCCATATTTGCCGTACGCCAATCGTGCCATTACTTTCATCTTTTGCATTAAACATCTCCAAGAAGAGTAATATTATGCTGTGTTTGTTAGTATACTTTTAGGCTGGATATATACGAAATTGCATATCCAAAAACATCGACAGATGGCGCTGTCATCTACTGATGATACGATCTCTGCTAGAAGTTCTCATATAAAAAAAATTAACTTGAAAAAACTTTGAAACGAACTTAAATAACGGAACATTTAATTGAAGTGGGGGTTTAGCACGGAATGTAGTCGAGTTGAGCTTTAATTTTTATTTGTTCAATATAACTTGTCAAGAATACCGTTGACAATTTTAAGCTACGACTTCTGACGACTTTTGGATTTATAACAATTTTTAGAAAATATATTAATTTGGCGTAGGATTCTTTGTTAGGGCTTAGCTGAAATAAAATGCAGTTGTTGGTGGAATTTTTATATAATAATGCCAGTCCTTGGTTCCTGTGAAATGGTCGAAAGTAGAATATTCATGCTTAGAGGGAAAAAGTGGACACTATTGTTGACAAGCCTAAATCGCGCCGAACTATAAACGATGGAGTTGCTAGGCGTTTTTTTATTGTTTTTGTTTAGCCAACTTCACTTAAACTGCATGAATGTGAAACTTTTTACTACGATAAACAATATTTCCTTTATGATATCGGAAAAAATGCAAAACTGGTCGATTCTTGAAAGTTCTGGACAGAGCAAGAATTAGTTCAGGGTGCTGTTAATTTTAGAATACATAAAACGCTGTTTTGACTGGCTTAAGTCATCGGCTGATCTGAGATCTGAGTCGTGAAGGAACAATGATCGATATTATCAACAGTATGCTATTTTCTTCTGGTTTGAAAATGTCTGAAGAAGTCCTTTTATTGCCAATTCAGATACAACTGGGATTCTGAAAGCGATTAATATTAAAGAAGTCATGTATACGTTGTATAAAATATATATAGTATACAGGGTGAGATAAAAAAACTGCAACAAAGTCAAAAGTAAAAGCCGATGGCCGCTCTCCGCTCGTATTAATAGACCGTGGCATCAGAATAAATGCCGAATATTTTCGCAAAAATATTCTGGAGGGCGATTTAAAGCCTTGGGCAGGCAAATATTTTGGCCGCAGACCTTTGACATCCCAACAGGACTCAGCATCATCGCACTCAGCACGCGCCAGCCAAGAATGGTTGCAAAATAAGGTTCCTCGCTTCATTTCCAAAGCACAATGGCCACCAAAGTCTCCGGATACCAATCCGTTGGACTGTTGCGTCTGGAGTATTAAAATAAATATAAAAAATACCAAAGTGTCGATCACCTCAAGCAAAATACCACAGAGCAACATTCGGGCAGCATGTGCCGGTTTCATTGGGTGTTTGAAGGCCATAATTCGTGCCAAGGGTGACAAATTTGAACAAATTATGGCGTTTGACTTTATTGCAGTTTTTTATCTCACCCTGGTTGTCATGCAAGCTTATTACTGGAGAATGACAATTCCAAACCACATAAAGATGCAAATGCCGGTATCATAAAGTGAATTTAATTCATTTTTACTTCCATTCTGAAAGTAGAAACTACCCAATACGTGTAGAATAGACAAATAATTTACTATTATGTTTACAACTATGTAACAGTTTCGATCGACTAAAAAGTGTTGCTACTAATAGGATTTCTTTTGGCAGTACTTTCGAGTGTATTATTTAAAGTTGGCAGCATTTATTTCGTAAAACGTCAAAACAATACCAATAAAGGTAAGCAAAAAATATTTATTTTTTCGCGCCGCATAAAGGATTTTTACATCGGTGTTCAAATAAAATGGATTCGGTTGCTCTTTGGTTGCAAAATGAAAATGAGCGATTGGAGCGTAAATCAATCGCGATGGTGTAGACTTAATTTAGATGCAACGTAAGTAACAATTATATAAATATGGTGTAAATTTCTACATATTGCAATGAGTTTCTTTTTTGGGATTAACAAGGAAGCATTTAATTACGTCATGGTAGAAGAATATAGGTAGACGCGTCGACACAGCTGCTGGGACAATGAACTGTCAAACCAATTTTGGAATTGAAAATGTTGTATGAAAAATTAACTAAATTTGTAAAAATTGTTGAAAAACGCGAATTATAATAGCCTCCGAATGACGTAGTATAAGGAAACATGTACAAATCTACTTTTATTTTAAAAAACATTTAATTGTTTTTTGACATATCAATGCTCCCAAGCGTTGATGCATCTACCTGTATTCTTCTGCCATGAATTACGTGCTGGACAACAGCAGCCGACATCGCTGAGGTCTATTAGTGTAACTTCAATAGTCAAATTGGGTGCTACACTTAAGTTTCTTGGGCAAGGTGTGTACCAACACCAAATCGGTCACGACAGCATTGCTGGATTGGCACAACAAACTTATGATATTGTGTCTTATGATCTACCCAAAACTTAAAAGGAGGCTGCATTTATTTTTTTACCCAGGAATCATTGGTGGCTTGTTTGGCGTCTAAAGCTTTTAAGTAACCATTATTTTAAATTGGCTTTTTGATATTTCTTGTATTATATTCCCTATAAGAATTACTTTAAGTCATATTTACCTAAAAATGCGTATGAATTAATGAAATATTCACATTTTTCAGAGCTTTTTATCCTTTTTTGAATTGTAGTAATTCTTTTTTGTTTTGTTTTTCTCTATCCGTTAGGTAAAAATCAAACGAATACAAATGTCTTCTTTCGAGCGACTTTGACATCTACATTCGAAATACATAGTAATGCAAATCCGAAAGGAGATTATCAATATCTGGCAACTCGAAACTAGGAAATGTAATTGCGAATTCGAGTTAGGTGGTAAAAAATTCGCATCCGTAATATTTAACTTTTGAATCGAATTACATAGTAACCCCCTTATTTTTTTATAGGGATATTGTTGATTATCGAAAATTGCTGAGGATTAGTTTTTTTAATCAATATCTATAATTTTTCTTTGGTTTTATTAAGCATACTCAGCCACACTCAATGCAGCTCTTTGAGTATGGATAAAAAGAAACAAATAATTATTATTAGATAGTCTTGTACCATGGTTCTACCTTCAAGTTCATTAACCATTGCAAAATGCCCAAGATTTACTATGGACACATAGATCTTCTTATAATTTATTCGGTTCTATTTACATATATATACACTAATATAAATATGTTAAACATTTCTTATTAATTAAGTACAACATTAATATCTAATTCGGCACCTTATATACGGGTGTAATGTGTGATATGTGGTTTTACATTCTATAAACTAAGATTTTAATTTGAGGGAAATCATATAACAAATCAAAGATAGAGGGCATATGCCCATTATAGATAAAATAATTATTGCTTCATCGAAATGACCTCGTTATGACCTTTCTCAGCCGTTCGTAATTTGCTTTCAAATTCTCCAGAAACATCCTTGTAGAATGGTCCCAATTCCTCTCGAACAGCATCGTACCATTTTGAGAGCTTGTTGCGTTTAATGAATGGATTATAACCAATATATTCTGAAAAAAATAAAAAATAGAATGTGAAACAAATTTTAATTTTGGTTTACAAATGAGTTAAAGTTTCGCCCCATGATAAAAAAGAAGGTAAATCAGGTTCGTAAAACTACTGAAATACAGTCCGGGAGAAAGGCCCGCCTACTGCCAGAGTTATTAAAAATAAGATGCCATGATACCCATGAAGTCAATGTTGTTTTTTTTTTTTTTTTTTTTTTTTTGTGTTTCAAATGAGAATAAATTGGAACAAACTAGTATCGAATGTAAAGAATTAAACATATTGCAAGACTGCCAAAGATTTTTGGGATGACACGTTAGCCTCCCAAATGTTTTATGTAAGTCAAATTTGAAACTTGCAACTTTGTATAATCATAAGTTTCAAGTTTTTTTTTTCCAAATTGACAAAATGTATATTCATAAGTCCATAGTATGTACCCAAATCAGATATGGCAACCTGTTTTAAATCAAGTTAAGTTTGACAAGGTAAATTACAGAAAATAAAGATCTGGATATGGGTTGGTATTTAAAATGATGTTACCTTGCTTTAACTGTACGATGGATATACCTCTTTAAATACGAAAGATTCGAGCGAGAGTATTTTTTTTTTGGATAAAATGAGGCTGTAAATATTTACTAAATGCCCTGTGTCCGTACGAAAGGATGTCATTCAAACAGCACAACATGTATGTATTTAATATAATATATAAAAATTAATAATCAAAACGTTTGCTTTATTAGCACTTACTTGGTTGGTCCACCTCACATATGGCCAATAAATCTGCATACGAAATAGTATCTCCAATTATGAATTTGTTCGACTGTAGAAAGAGATTTTCGAAATCGTTCAAATTGCGTTCAAGTTGTTTAGCAGCTCCGTTTACCTACAAACAAAAGCAAAAAATACGTGAAAAAAACAGTTAAAGACGAACCAAAACAAAGTGATAATCAAAAACTCGTTTTTAAAAAAAAAACTTGGAGGTTTGGCCAAAGTTGAAAACGATGTCACTGTCAAGGCACTTCCGTTATTAAATTTGCATGCATTAGTGGAGCACACTATTGCATTTGTTTTCAATTCTATAATGGCCTTTTTTGTTTTTGGCTGGATTTCATAACTTACTGAATTCTCGTTGGCTCGAGTTTTCTGTAAATACGGTACGAGCCATTTTTGCTGGAAGTAATCCGTACTGGCTACGCCCAGGTTACGCTGGCGCCATTCTAAATATTCATCTATGCGACTGCGACCCAGATTTTTACGTGGATACCAGTGCTCTGGAACAATTTTTTCCCTAACCAAGTGGCGGAATATGGCTACACTTTCAGATAATTGAAATCCATGGTCGTTAATGGCGGGAATCCGTTTGAAGCGGGTAACTTTATCTCTGTATTCGCCAGTCAGATGTTCACCTAAAATATAACAAATAAATTATGTTATGGCTTTTATCGACAGATTTGTAAAGCAAAAGGCACTTAGTAACATAGTAATTTAATATTATTTTAAATAATCACATTGTTTGTGTAATAATTTTCGAATTCAAATTTCAACATGCACCACTGCAAATGTAGGTTACGTTAAGCAATAACATAAGTCCAGTGCTAATGCAAATTTCTCCTTCGATTTTGTGGTTGGAAGTACAGTATTAAATTTCAACATTTTAATAATGCACGTTATTGAAATCACACTTTTTACATTTTTTTTATCGGCTCTTCATCGATATTGCTTGGGAAGTGTGAAGTTTAAAGAACATCGGAGAAACAATATTTTTTAATTTTTGCAGTTGATCTAAGTTTAAAGAAAAACAGTCAGTCGTTTATCATTTTGTTAGAAGGACTCTTTACGGAGTGTGTGCCAGAGGGAGTCAATTTTCACACTATATCTAATTTTGACAGAAACATTGATATCTGTGATGTTTGTTAAATGTCGCACTCTAATCTTACACTCATCCCAGTTATTATTTATAGTTGGTCAGTTCCAGAACTGAAAAAATGTTACTTTTTTCTAGCGAAAAAAAAACTGCAAAAATAGTAGATTCTTGCAGAGTCTGGAACAGCAACAAGTGTTGACCTCTGGCGGGGAGGTGCGAAAAGGGGTGTGCCGATATAATCACTATACTGAAAAGAAAGAACTTCGGATCAGAAACCATTATTTCAACTATGAACAATTCTGTCGTATCAAAGGATGTTCTATAAAAGCAGAATGCTGAGGGTATAAAAGAGTTGGCAAGCAACAAATTATTAATTATGTTATTGTTTATTTTGATATGATGAGTAAACTTGTCATGCGACGAAATGTTGTTGGTTTATTTGGTGGTCAGTTTAAACGGCTGACAGTGTACCACCTAAAAATCACGTTTACAAAATACATATTTTCTTAATGATCTCGCCCTACAATTCTAAAAGTAAATTAAAATAAATGGAAAGTATATAGTCGAATTAGAGTGACAATTTCATTTGTCAAACTGTCCTTTTTATACCCTCAGCCATATTACTACAGAGGGTATATATAAATAACGGTTTTAGACCTTAGGTCTCTTTGGACCAAATCCGTTTCAGAACATTTTGAGTCGTTCTAGCGATGTCCATCCGTCCTCCTGTCTGGCTGGCTGGTGCGCACGATAACTCCCGAAGGGAGTATCCGATTTGATCCAAACTTGATACATCGTAATATTTTTGTCAAACTTAGATCGAGTTCGAAAATGGACAATATCGGTCCACTCCTTCTGGTATCTCCCCCACAAAATGTCGAAATTTTCAAAAAATATATTTTCTTGCACAGAAAAAGAAAGGATACTCCAATTTTGCTCTAACTTTGAAAATAGTAATATTTGTGTCAGTGCTAGGTCAGATGTAAAAAATGGACAATATCGGCCCACTCCGTCAAGTACCGCCCCACAAATGGTCAAAACTTTGAATAATTACAACTCTCATAAAATATGATGTAAGAGTCCGATTGTCTTCTAATTTCACACATCCCAATAATTATATTAATCCAAGATTTGAAATTAAGATGGAATAGATCGGCCCACTCCTTCTGGTACCTCCCCCATAAAAGGTCGAAATTTTTAATATTCATTAAGCTCATAAAACGCGAAACGAATATCCAATTCCATTTAGACTTGACACATCTGCATATTTCTATCAACACAGGATCTGTTATAAAGATGGTAGAGATCGAACCATTCCTTCTGGTACCTCCCACATAAATCAGTTTCCTTTTATATTTCACACATTCTATTATTTTTACTAACACAAGATCTGTTGGATATATCGGTCCTCTCCTTCTAGTACCTCCCCCACAAAGGGTCAACATTTTGAATATCCATGGAGCTCATAAAACGCGAAATTAACATCCGACTTGGCACATGCCAATATTTCCATCAACACAAGATCTGTTAAAAAGATTGTAGAGATCTGACAATTTCTTCTGGTACCTCCCCCACATTGGGTTCAAGATTTTGAGAAACCAAACGCTCAAAGTAAGCCAAATAAGCATTCAACTCTCTAAAAATTTCACACATAATCGGTTCAGATTTGGATATAGCTCCCATATATATTTTCGACCGATTTCGTTCATTTGATGCCTCAAACACAATATGAATGTTCGATTCCAATGAAATTTTGGAATGTGTGACGGGATTTAATCCGAAAATAAATTTGACAAATTATATTGAAATCGGTTCAGATTTGGATATAGCTCCCATATATATTTTCGGCCGATTTCAAGCATTTGATGCACCAAACACGCTATGTATCCCCAATTTCAATGAAATTTGAAACGTGTGATAGATTGTATCTAAAAAATTGATTTCCCAAATTATATTGAAATCGGTTCAGATTTGGATATAGCTCCCATATACATTTTCGGCCGATTTCATGTATTTGGTGGACCTAACACGACATGTATTTCCAATTGTAATGAAATTTAAAATAAGTAACGGAATTGGGAGCCAAAATGAATTTGTCAAATTAAATTGAAATCGGTTCAGATTTGGATATAGCTCCCATATATATTTTCGACCGATTTCATGTATTTGATGCACCAAACACGCTATGTATCTCTAATTTCAATGAAATTTGGAATGTGTAGCGGAAATTAAAACAAATATACATTTGTCAAATTATATTAAAATCGGTTCAGATTTGGATATAGCTCTCATATATATTTTCGACCGATTTCATGTATTTTATGCACCATACACGATATGTATGTTCGATTCCAAAGAAATTTGGAATATGTAACGGGATTTTGATTAGAAAATAAATTAGTCAAATTATATTAAAATCGGTTCAGATTAGGATATAGCTCCCATATATATTTTCCGCCGATTTCACATATTTGATGCACAAAACACGACACGTATTTCCGATTCCAACGAAATTCGGCATGAGTGGCTAAATTTGGTACAAAAATAAATTTGACAAATTATATTCAAATACGCTCAGATGTGATTATAGCTCACAAATATATACTCAGCCGATTTCACATATTTGATGCACCCAAAGCGAGAGAGACAAAATCTGGCACCAGAAAATATTGCCAAATTATATTGAAATAAGTTGAGGTTTGGATATAGCTAACATATATATTTCGGCCGATTTCATACATATTATGCACCAAACACGATATATATGACCGATTCCAATGAAATTCAGAATGTGTGGTGGAATTTGGTTATAATAATAAATGTGATAAATTAATTGCAATTAGTTAAGATTTGGATATAGCTCCCATATATATATTCTCAGCCGATTTCACATATTTGACGCACCAATTTCAATGAATTATGAAAGGTGTGGCGGAGTTTTGTGTAAAAGTAATTTTTTTAAAATTATATTTAAATCGGATCAGATTGGGATATGATTTTAATAAGAACCATTGACCCACAACGCCTTAGGCTAACACTAAAAAACAACACAACAATTTATTTGAAATACGCTTATTACGGCGAAGTATGTTGCTATCTCGAATTCACTAATTGCAATAGAAAAACCACTCTACTTAAAAAAATTGCAGTTTCCTGCACGCTTGGTATTTGCTATGAAATAAATAAATCCTTCGTGTATGTATGTCATGTTACTGCTTTTGTAATGATTTTGTTTAAAAACGCATTAAATTAGTGCAATATTTTTTTTTTTAATTTTTAAATTTGTTTTTCTTTATCCAACATATGATCGTAAATAAAATTTTGAATGCATATAAAATCAAAAGGGGTAGCGAAGCGCACCGGGTTCAGCTAGTAATAATTATAACAGAAGTTAAAATATATTTAAATAATTGAACACTGGTTCAGGGTAAACACCTGTCGGCAGTGCCGACAGATACTTTTTAACAAGTTTTAACTGAAACTCATTAAAAGGTAGAAGCAACACTACCACAAATACAATTCAACAACAACAATATAGGTATATATTATTGTAAATAATGTTAGTAAGTAATAATGGCTATGGCTCTAGCTCCAGAGCCTGCATGAATCTACTATTGCAATTTCTTTCAATATCATAAAGGGAAATCGTAGTTACATTTTTTGGCATTCTGGTAGTTCTTCAACAGACCATATATGCCAAAAACGTAAACAAAACAATAAATGTTTAATATATTATTTAAATTTGAAAAATATACATTTTTAGAACTTGGATTATTAAATTCAAAATGCAGTTCAAAGTAATATTCTTCACAATTAATCAGTCTGCCAGACCTTGTGATTATTGTATTTTGGTACCATACAAATAATTAAATTTAAGAAAAGTGGTTATTAACCTAGTGGACAATAACCTAGTTTTAAAAAAGTTCAATAAAATATGAGTGTATGTATACACTTTGTTTTTCATTGAAAAAAAGTGTTCGAATGATTCCATACTTTCATTGATCGTTTCTAAACTTCACTCGAATCAAAATCATGCTTTGAGGCGTTACAATGGACGGAGAGATTTTAAATTTCTTAATTTACGTACACATGTGTATGTATGTATGTATTTTATATAGCATGTTTTCTTAGTCGTACTGGGTATTTAAAATTGTGATAATTTTGTTTTATTTTTAATTAAAAAAAAAATAAAAAACACAGCATTTGATAAGAACTGAAAAATAATACTAATTACTGATTTCTTTGTTTATGTGTTTTAATCGCTTACAAACGTCTTTTTGTACCGAAGACTTTGGTCAAAAGTTGTTGACACACAAAAACGGGAATTTCTAATCATTGGAAAGAAAATAAAATCATACATACAAACAAACATATATGTTTATGTGCATGTCGTTATATGCGTACCCTACACCACTTCTCAACAGATTTTAACAGGGAATTTAAAAAAGGGTCGACAATACTAATATTGGTACAAGGAAAGTTTATAAATACAAAAAAAAATAATGAAGGCACTTGTGTATAGTTTCCAAAATTTTTTTGAAA